ATATATTAAAAGCACCAGATAAGTACTAGTGTAGAAGCACTCATCTGCAGCTGGTGCTTTGTCAAGGCGTGCTACTTTAGGTGCAAGCCACTCCTTGCCTGCGTAGCTACGCCATTCCGTGTACAGATAGTAGAACAACTAAACTAACACAATATGAGTTTCAATCAATTCAATGCTTCGTATGCCTCTGTCATCCCTACTAGCCACAACGCTTCAACGGCGAATGACCCATGGGACGACTTCACAATGACCTCGCCGATCATCCACGAAGTCCACGAATTTGGCTCCATCTAGTTAACGGATAGGGAAAAATTGTTATCACCGAAATCGTCGATATAAAATCCCTCGCTTTTACTTTGCTTTCAATTTTTACGGAAAAAGAAAAGGAGAAGTCATCTCCGAAATCTCCCTATTATTATTGACTCAAATTCATTGTGTAGGTTTTGGGAGTCCCCCACTGTTAGATATTAAATTGAGTCATGTGTCTTAAATTGATTTTTTACCATACAGTTACTGTGAACTCAAGGTTTTGTCCTTTTACCCAAAATGTGGACTTTTGTGCTGAATCGCTAAATATCGATCAATAGTACTGATTTTTGATGTAAAAAGGTGTCATGAGGTGATTGGTGTCACACTAATTGAAGTCACACACTATTTTGCCATTGTTGATGGTTTGCTGCAATCTGATTGACTATATCCTGCTGCCGATTCTTTAGTACATTTGGTTTGTCGCTTCATTCTCCATGTCGCTCCAGGGAGTTGCGGGAATAGGCCACAAACACATCACTAACGTAGGGTACCGGTCATCGGCACACATTTAGACTTACGGAACTCGAGAAGACCCTCGGACACTACCTCTAGGGGGAATTGTTTTACATGGCGCTGCAGAAAGACCTATGCGCCTTTTTAGAGGTCGGCTCATGGTCTCATCATCGGTAAGGCCGTTTAGTCTCCCGTCCGAATAATAACGATGGGAGTGAAAACATCCAGTGAAACCGTGAGGCAATCTACGATAAATTAGGCCCTCGTATCCAGATCCGTGAGGCAAATGTCAGGCAATTGCTCGACGCGATTTTACGATGTGGTTTCGGGTTTTCGGTCCAAAATCATAGGTTAAGTATGGGAAATCCGCGGTACGCAAATATCGCTCGGATATTGTCGAGCAATTGCCTTACTCATGCGGGTTACAGGAAATTAACTTAAATTCACCTATGAAAACACGCAATTGTCTCATCAGTATCTCGAACTAACGAAAACACTTCAGCAATCGCGTTCGTGTTTGGAGCTGATGGGCCACCACGCCTGCACGCGGTCCCCGGCACTTGGACAGTTGGTTATTGGTACCGCACTTGAATCCCGTGGGGCGCTATTCAACAATCTGCTTGGCTTGATCGTCGCCACGGCCGGTTTGCGCGTTCGTAATGTACATCCGCTACGCCGCTATGTGCGTGGCGGGGTCGCACTTGTCCATCGACCGCTCGAAGCAGTTGTTGGTGATCTCGGCCACCATCAACTGTTCCGAAATCACAGGTGCGTACGGCGACAACTAGAAATGATAGTACTGGAACTCGATAGCGGAGTGACGAGATGTAAAAATCGTTTTGCAAAACGTAAATAATTCTGGGGTTGAATAAAAATACACATACATAATACAAATATCAGCCTAAAGATGTTCAAGCGAATAATAATATGTACCTGTCGTGCGCATGGTACACGCCGTTTGAAGTGAAAGTGGCAGATTCAGTTCCTGGTTGACTCGCACGTGACACTTGAATAAAGTTGCATGTATCCCTCGAACATGGTACACCACCATGATTTGTAGGAATCAAGGACCATAAATTCTTCATAACGTAGGGCACCGGTCATCAGCATTAAATACCAGTCATCGGCATTTTATAAGCCAATAGAAATGCAGAATTACTCTTATTGGCCAAAATAAAATCCTCCATGAAATAGAGCCCGTAATAACTAATAGGAGGGAAGACATATCAAACATGAGAGGTATGTCAACTTTTGAATTTGGCATGGCGCCGAAAACGGCGTACTCAGCCGACGACATGTCAAAAGCCATCGGCGACATGCTCAAAGGGGTGGATATTGTTGCAAACATGGCAATGCGTCATGGAGTACATCTTCGTACACTCCATACTCATGTGCATTGACTAAAAGACAATGGAAGCCACCGTAGCACCCTTGCGCACGGGGCCACCTCCATCTCTCCCCATGTCGTACGAGGACGACTTGGTGACCTGGATCGTCGGAATGGAAACGGATGGTCATGCCGTCAGGCGCAAACGAATCATCGAGAAGGCGACTGCCATTCTTGAGGTTATGCACGGCTTCACACCAGCTCAACCTTTGACACGTGGCTGGTATCATCGCTTCATGCTGCGTCATCCGGTGCCGAAACGAAAGAAGGCATCCGGTCTCAAATCGCTGACGACATGTCGAATAACATTGGAAGTGACATCATCAAGCAGAAGGCAGTCTCCATCACCTGTGAAATTTGGGCCAATTCAACAAAGACGTATACCTTCGTTGCATGCCATGATATACCGATTGTATCTGTTCAAACCGCCGTCGGAGCGTGTAGAACAAGTTGAAGAAACATTGTTCAAAAGTGCCGCCACTATTCGCAAGTCTAACGCAACAAGTGAGGTCCAGTGCGAAAAACGTTGTCGGTGAGTGGCATGTTTATCACAGTCGACTATCATAAGCTCCTTCAAGCTCAATCTGGGGCAAAAAAGCAGCAGCTGATTCGTAGCTCTGGGGTACTTGAAATCGTAGTGGTTTAGTTGTACTGTTAACCAATGTAAATTGATTTTGTTTCAGTGTTTGCGTTAACAATGTTAGTCAAAAAGTGATATACATACAGAAGTATGCATCCAAGCAATTGCTTCGTACAGTAGTAAAAAGTAGATTCTGAGCGTGGCGTCATCACCAAGGAGAATTATCGTCCTTATAGCGTGTTAAAGACATGACTACATCAACTGATGTAAATACCTAACCTCAAAAGTACATCTAATGGTGGGCCCATGAAATTGTTCCATACTCCGACGATGTCCAATTGACTGTGATCTGAAGCAAAAATTGCACTCTGGTCAATGAATTGGCCAAGGGTTCGATCCCACCCGAACGTACACTTTTTTGTTCGTGGTAGCACACAAAGAAACTGTAATAGTGTACCTCTCCTAAGCACATGATACTTTGCAATTTGATATTTTGACAGAATTCCACGTGGGGAAATTCAATACAATACGGCCATTTTCTTCACTTCTTCTTGGTCTTCGATTTGGTGTACCCAGCGGCGGGAAACGATGGGGATGTCTTCATAGAGGTTGCGCACGGGCTCCCATGAGGCTTCGTCTTCATCGAGGCCAATCTAGTAGACGAGAGCTTGGTACTCACCGTTTTCTTCGCGGACGTCGCCGAGTTTGGCCACGTGGAACCCTTCATTGCCAAAGGCAATATGATCGGGTAGGTATTTGGTCACATCGCAGCCGCCTTCGTAATACATCTTGAGCCGTCATGTGTGATAAGGCGGACGATCTTGCTTGGACCGCACCAGTGCAGGGACAACTTGTTGCCTTGGCGGGACACTTGACCAACGAGGACAAAGTCGCCGATCGCAAATTTATGCAACTGGACGGCCTTCGACTTGGCTTGGCGGTCGCGGGCTTGGCGTCGCTTCTTGGCGCTTGTCGCAGCGACTTCGCGATTCAGCTCTTCCATTGTTTGATGCAGCTCATCCATGTGCTTCTTGCGCGTGGAGTAGAGCCAGTCGATGTCAGTGACTTCCTTGGTGGTGTTGACAAACGCAGACAGGGGCGTTGTCGTAGGTAGGCCAGTAAAGGCGGTCACCAGGGCCATGCCGCTAAGTGTCGGTCGCTTGGCACGTGGTTCAAGGCGCCTTGAACCAGGGCCAGGTCGAGGTACAAATCGGTCGCGCGCAGCTTCAACTCGCCGGTAAGCTTCTTGACGGCGCGGAGGATCAGTCGGTTGACTACTTCAACGGTTCCGTTCGCCCAAGGACAGTAGGTGGTCGTGAAGTGGTGGTGGGCGGCCGGCGGGGTTCCGGGACTAGTCGATGACTTCGTTCTTGAAGTGGGAGCAGCTGTCGGAGACCCAGGTATGGACATACCCAATGGACGTGAACCAGTTGAGGAGGCCATTGGCGGTAGCCGCGGCGTCGCTTGTCTCGCTGGGCCAAAGTGGCACGAACCTGTTCATGTACTGTAGTCCTTCATGATGAGGAACTTCTGTTAGCCGTTCGTCGCCGTGGGCATGGAGAGCCACTCGAAATGGATCAGCTCTTGGGGCTTCTCGACATGGAGCGCCTATCCAGAGGTACTGAGTCGTCGACGCTGAGGCAGTGGATGCAGGCTTGGACGAAGGTCTTGACATCAGCTTCGAGGGTGCTCCAGGCGAAGACATCACGGCGGCCTTGGTTGTGGCTTCGATTCGTCGATGGCCCGCGGCGCCTTGGCGCGCTATGATGCAGACCCGCTTCTGGAGGTCCGTGGCACTTGGTGGGATCCAGATGCGGTCCTCCTTGTCGAGGAACAGATTCTTGTCTTTATTCCACGCCACGCCGGTTGGCGGGGTCTCTTCCCTCTTCACAGCCACTTGTTGGGTCTTGACAATGCCGGCAGGGCAGGGCCAGTCGAAGTTGCACTGCTGCAGGGGCGACACCATGGCCAGGAGGTGCCGGACGGACTTCGTTGGCACTTGGGTTTGGGCGGCTCCCCAGCGGCTGAGCAGGGCGCCCCACATGTTGTCTTCACCGGGCAGGCACTCGATGGCGTAGGAGAACGAGGAAAGCAACAGGGACCAGCGCTCCAACTTGTGCGCTTGGTATCTCGCCATGCTTGGGGACTGGCCGGCAGGATTGAAAATGTACTGCAGGTTCTTGTGGTCGGTGAAAAGACGGAAGCCAGCTGGGCGGATACGAAGGTAGTCCAGCCGCTTGCGGCTTTCCAAAACGGCAAACGCTTCCTTCTCCACGATTGGCCAACGCTCGCTTGCGCCAGTAAAGGCATCGCTGAGAAAGGTCAAAGGCTGGTGGTGCTGCTCTTCCAACGGCAGGGCTAGGTCTTCAAATGGTACTTGAGTGGCGATCGCGCCCCAAAAGCCTTCACTTGCGTCGGTGTAATGGCAGACAGACCATCATGTCTGCCCGTGGGTGCGCCATGGGAACCATCGGCAAGTGAGCTTCCTTCATCTTGTCGAAACAGGCCAGATGGCCAACGTCCCAGCCAACGGCAGTGACTTGGACGCGGGTGAGCTTCGTCTTCTTCGCACTTTCAATTTGCTTGGTCGCTGCGTCAAGAAGTTGGCGGAGCGGCGCCACAAGTTCGGTGTAGCAGGAGATGCTGGACCGCATCCAGTTGGTTGCGCACGAACTGTTGGAGGTCGGTAGCCGTGGCAGGCGGTGCGAGCGCACACAGTCCTTGGGTTCTTGTGGGGGAGTGCTGTACGCCTTCAGTTGAAACGACTTTGCCGCACCAGACGGCCTTGGTCAGGCAGAAGTCGCTTTCTTCGGGTTGAGCTTCAGGCCGAAGGAGGAGCAGATCGAGAGGACTTGGTCGAGGAGGACTTCAGGGGTCTCGGCGTAGCCAAGCATGTATGACCAGGAGTCGCAGCTTCTCGGCACCTTCTCGAGCAGATCCGCGGTCAAGCCTTCACCTTCAGCGGCACGGAGCTTGGCTTGAATCACCACTTTAACCACCACACGCCGCCTGTTTCGCTCGCGTTCTGCGTCATCAGCAGATGGGACTTGGATGTTGGGGGTGGCACAGTGCATGCAGTCATCACCGCACTCGTCGCTTGAGGCGGCCACTTGAGTCAAGCGGTTGACACTTGCCATTGCAGGCGGCATCTACACGTCGCTAACATCCCAGACTTCTTGCTTGAGCAACCCTTCTTCAGAGAAACCCAGCCGTTCCACCACAGCCCAGCTGATCAGCAGCTCTGTTGCGTTGGAGGACGAGTCCACGCAGGGCCAAAGGGGTGTCCAAGGTGACCAACTTGAACTGCACTTGGCGGTCGACCTTGAGGCCAAGTGGTTTGATCACCTTGACCATGATGTCGACAACTGTCTTGCCTTCTTGGTCCAACACCCACGCTTGGTCGTGGCGGTCCAAGGCTCGCATCAGGTTGCAAGCATCTTGACAATGCGCGAGTTAGCGTCCATGATAGTCGTGTCGACCCGGATCGCTGTCGGCAAAAACTATTTGAGCACTTCCAGGACTTGAGGCTCCTCTTCAAACGCCTTGCTAAACCATGCGATCCACTCCCATTCTGAAACACCACATTAGTCGCGGTTGGCCATGTCTCACATCGCCATGCGCTTCTTGGTAAGTACGTCCCTGCATGCGCTAACAGGCATGGCGAAGGGCCGTGAGCCATTGAGCTGGAGGGCGTTGACTTGGTCCAGGTATTTGTCGTACTGGCGGATGAATATCCTCCGTTCTAACTTAGTCGAGTCGTTGAACGAGGGCGGGTCAAGCAGCGCCGGCGCGTTGTACACGAAGACACTCGTCGCATTAACCCATGTCATAGCCATCGGGGATAGGGAGAAGGTTGGTGGCGCCAGTTGGTGTCGTAGCTGGCGCGGGGGAATCAAATGGACGGCCACGGGGTTGGTGTGTGCGCCCTAAATGAGGTGTTTGCGTAGCCATCTGGTTGAAACCGCTGGTCAACAGCTGGTGGATTACGCTGCGGGGGTGAGGCGAACCTTGGTTGTGGTTGGTCGGTGCACGGGACGGCCGCGTTCGGCTTCTAGGGATCGGAATCGCTCCGTCCCGTTAACAGGGGACTGCGAGCGTTGGTAGTCACAGCCCTCATTGCTTCGGGCGATGAGGCTAAAGAATTCTTTGTTTTCGCTCCCGTCGTTATCCGGACGGGAACCTCTTGCGGAGGCCGAATTACTACGTTTCCCGTTCAAGTTGAAATGAATTTCCAGTCAATGTGAAATGAACACGTTCGAAACACGACGATTTTCAAACCAACATGAATTCTCTAACATTCAACTTGAAACATACTTTGTTTCATGTATATTCTGGTGTATGATTTGGATAAAGGAGGAAGATGGGTGAGGGAGGGTAGACATGATGATTGAATCACTATTGTATACTGAAGGGTAGTATAATTCATCACCTTATGGTTATTATACTATAGTTGAAGTAAGTTTAACGTTTCATTTTGAAGTGAACATTCTTCATGTTGAGATGTGAAACTGCACTTGTGAAATCTTATAATATTTCTGCATTTCACATTGACTGGAAATTCATTTCAACTTGAACGGGAAGTGGTGTATAGTTGAAGTAAGTTTAACGTTTCATTTTGAACATTTTTCATGTTGAGATGTGAAACTGCACTTTGAAATCTTATAATATTTCTGCATTTCACATTGACAGGAAATTCATTTCAATTTGAACGGGAAAAGGTGTAGTAGTAAATTGCAAACTGAGGAGTCTTACGACGAATTTCTTTTTCTGGTCTATTTTAAGTCTAATCATTTCGTCCAATGAAAATGCGCCAACAATGCACATCTTTCAACCTGCTGCACATAATGGAGACTAACGAGCTTTACCGATCATGAGACCATGAGCCGACCTGGTAGGTCTTTTTGCAGTTCCATGCAGAACAATTGTACACATAATTGTCCGGCTCTTTGCAATAAATTATTTACTGTTAATTGTCAATCACTTCGTCAAATATTTGTTTCGCATACCCTGGCTGGGTGTGCGTCGCGGGCATGTGTCAGGATGTCAGCCTCAAGGGTCGACATGGTCGAAGAGCGGCATCGCAAACTATTCAAGCTGTACAAGGAGGAGAGGAACATTTGCACCGCCATCGACATGCATAGCAGCACGACGACATCCAACGACGCGTGGGATATGCTGCCAAGTGATTACGACAACCTCCGCGTTTTCAGGGGCCGGTTGGCCTCGGTTCTCGCCAACACGACTGCGGTCGAGTCGGATTTCTCGATACTGGGAGCTCGACGAGTTCCGTAGCTGTATGATGCACCTATCGCTGGAGGACATCTTCCAGGCAAAGCAGCGTCGCCTGTTGATGTCGCTGCTAACGTTACATTAGAGATCGCAAAATGAATAAAACAATGAGACTTTACACTCAGTTTCCAGCAGTCTACAAAGTACAGTAATGCTGGCGGTGTCTACAAAACAAGCTAAGCTTAACGTTACTACGGAGTACAAATGATTGATAGGTTTACCGGTTTACGTTCCGTTATTATTATATTATACAGGTATTATCATATTTGCTGTACCGCATATTTCCACTTAAGCCTCTATAACCAGATAAGTATCAGATATAGGTGTATAGAAATTATACGGAAGCACAGTGAAAATTGATCACCATTCCTGGTTGATTTTGTATGTATAATATTAATAGTAACTTCTAAGATACTCTAATTAGGACTCTCAAAGCATTAAAATCGGATTTCTTGTGAAATTCTCTACATGGAAGTATACATATTGTCAAGGCAATAACCTATTTTGACTGAGATACAATTGTTCAAAGCTCAACAAAGTGAAACCTATCAATCATTTCCAATCGGAGGTAGTACTGTAGTTTGTAGATTTCTACTACGGTTTAAGGAGGCCTGACTTGTATGGTCTACTGTCAAGTACTACTACAAAACACCATCGCATGCTACGTAGTATATGGGTAGATATGTGATCCCACGAAAAAAAACACCTGCCTAAGTGGAAATGTACGAGTGCTTGAAATCTTCTCGCGAGTTGGACTTGTCAATGTACGAGTGAGGTTTGAAGTGTTCGGCTTGGATGAGTTCCGCGAGCATCGGCGCCACACTCAGGCGCTTCACTTTTGACGAGTGGTACCGACCGCCCTCGGACGGAATCGTGTCCATCACCACCACCTCGTGCACAGCGCTGTCGTCGATTGTCTTCTCCGCGTCGCCCGTCAGCAGCGGATGCGACGCAAAGCAAAACGACCGCCGCGCGCCGGCGTTCTTGACCACTTGCGCCAGCTTGACCAGCGTGCCTGACGTGTCGACCATGTCATCGACGACAATCACCTCGGCACCTTGGACGTCGCCGATCAATTGAATCGCGTCGGGCTCGTCGCCGCTCGCGCCGCCGCGGATGCATGTGGCGAACGTGATGGGGATGTCCGGCAGCCACTTGCGCAGGCCGCGCTGGAACACGCGCGCGCGCTTGACGCACTCGGGGTTGGGTGCCAACACCACAATTGGACCCTTGAAGTACACCTACCACGACCACGTCAAATGATTAATGTCAGTCTTTTGTTTGAAAAGCGAAAAAAAACAGGTTTTTTCCGTATTCGAACAACATCAATAGGACAATTACGTTTTTTCAAATGTATTTCAATCGTATATTGTGAAAATTCGCTCTAAACTTGCAAAATTCGCGCTGTTTGTCGAATCAATATTGAATCACGTTGGAGTTCTGATTGGTTGAATATATGTGTCGTTTCGAGCCAATCAAATCCACTCAAAAATGGATTAGCCAATAGCGTCGATGATTCGTGATTCGGAAATTCGTATCGAATTCACAGTATAACATAGATATACATAGGTAACACATGGGTTTCAAATGGATTTCAATCGTATACTAAAGAGATAGACGACGCCAACGACAGACACATCGAATACTCCACACAATATGGAGCAGTCGAGGTGAATGCAGCAACAGGATCGAGTATCATGGGAATACGGTATTGTACCTGGGTGGCAAAGTACTCGACGCCCGCCATGACGGTTTCCAACGTTTCCACGGGGATGTTGGTGTTGAAGAAGCTCGCTTCGTGCCCTTGGCCGCGCAGCTGCAAGTCGACGGCAATCACGCGGTCGACCCCCATGACCTCGAGCATCTTGGCGATATCCTGTGCGGGGCTGTGAATGAACTTGGAGTTCAAACTCGTTGCGCTCGGGTTACCGCGGCGGTGGTGCTTGTATGCATAGTACGGGATCACGGTTGTCACCTTCTTCGCCGACGCGCGACGCATGGTGCTCACCATGAGCAACAGCTCGATCACGTTATCGTTCACGGGTGTGCCGAGGGACTGCACGATGTACACGTCCTTGCCACGCACGCTCTCCTGGATCTGGCACTGCACTTCGCCATCGGCGAACCGCCCAAGCTTCAATCGCCCCACACGCGTACCGAGACGGCGCGCGATGTCGTCCGCGAGCTCAAAGTTCGACGATCCGCTGAAGATCTTGAGCTCATGACACCCGGGAATGAACATGCCAGCGTGCGTGCAAGGATGTTTGTCCGATGGGAAGAACGGTGAGAACGGGTCCACGCGCTTGCGGTCGCGGGGGACGCCGAACTCAATGTCCCGGAGGTTCGTCTCATCTTCCGAACGAGCAGGAGACTTCCACGTGCCAAGGGTAAAGCCGAGGCCGGCAGCAGTGAAAGCCAACGCGCCAGACAAGCGATCCAAGCGAAGCATGACGATGGGAGGTGGCACAACAGATAGGTTTTGCTGTGTGTTGGTTCCACCAACGTTCAAGGAAGATTCAATTCACGAAAATGCTGCCCTTGGATTGGCTAGTTTTCTGTATTTTAGCCAATCAAATTCTGCAGCTTCACCACCACAGAATGAATGCAACTACATAGTTATTTAAATTTATTTAAACTATGACAGAGCATACAAACACCAAGCTTAAGTATGCCGTGTCGAAAATATATAGCATCAATGAATATCATATCGTTTGGACCATTCAACCAACGAATCATATAAAATTGCCACTCGCCAAAGGGCACCAATATACACATCCACCCATGCAGGCACCACAAAGTAAACTACAGCTGTAGATACCAACCAATTCCTAGAGATATGCGTGGATTATTCAAGGGACACACCTTCATGATCTTCCCCAAATGCCATCAATTTCCCACACACAGGGCTGTGGGGAAGTACAGTACTGTATTGCGTTCGTACTTCAAATCGTAAGCTCATCTGCAGACGGGTTGTCACGCCTCTCCTGTTCATTGCTAACGTTATTGATCTACTACGTAGTAATTGTGTATTAAGCTTGGTTCGGTTCTTATGTCGTACTACTACAGTAATTGGTCAAGAGGTCTAGTACTGTAGTATTAATTAAGAGCGATAGTAGGGGTTTTCATTGTGCTTTTGGTTGTGTCATATAATTACAACATGGAGTAATAAAGTTTATCGTAACGTTAATTCCACTTCACTGTCAATACCGGTACAAAATAAACTCAATTTCGATTGCTCTACTATTTTGACCGAACGTGGACTTGAAGGGGCAGATTTGATGGACAGTCATGCAGGGACGATGTGCACGGCCGAGATGCTCTTTGACGCTGCCAAGGAGTCTCATGTCCGTGGATATAAGCATCTGATGCAGCTGTACCGAGATCTCACGGGCATTGCGGTGCTGGACTTGCCCGACAAGAAGACAGTGTCCGCCGCCGCGGCCCTCCTGCGCGCGTTTGATGCTAATGCAACGCGCCAGGCCGTCGAGCACACTGGTGTGGCGATGTTCACAGCGTACACGAGCGACTACTCGGTCGGATACGCCTGCGAGATCGTGAATCGCATGTACGCGGCGCGGCACGGGTACGAGTTCCACACCGACGTGTTGCCGTACGACGACATGATGGCGGCGATCTCGCCGCGACAGTTCTGCGGCTGGTACAAGGTGTTGATGATCCAGCGCTTCCTTGCTGACATGGCTGAGCTCCGTCGACGTGAGATCGGGTACATCATGTGGATCGATGCAGATGCGGTCGTCGTGAACCATTCATTCCGCGTCCAAGAGCTCATCGAACGCTCGAGGCATCGAGGTATGTAGCGCCACGTCATACCCTCAATATAACCCAAACTGACTGTGTATGTAGACTTGATCATTTCCGAGGACGTGAACCCGTGCTGCCTCGTCAATACAGGCGTGGTGATCGTCCGAGTGTCATCATGGAGCGAGCAATTGTGGACTGATGTATGGGCCATGCGCAAGTACTTTGACGTGTTCTTCTACGAGCAGTCGGCCCTCGTGCGGTGCCTCAAGGCGCGCCTCGAAGGGCTCGATTCCGTCCAGCCATTCCACAGCTACGTCCGCGGCGGTCCCCATGGCGACAAGTTGTTTGCGCATACGATGGTAACATGCCACTTGGACTTGAATTCGAATCGATGCCAAGGCTTGACGGTGCACATCTCGGACGACAACCGCAAGATCGACACAAGTCACGCGAACGAACACGACCACCACATGGCCAAGTTCATCTTTCACTGCGCAGGTATACGTGTACAGTACATATGCCCTATGTTATTGTCTACGGTATCTATGTTGACCAACCAATATGAAATGATCGTAGGGCGATGCAACAAAGCGCGGACGTTGCGGGCGGTGCTGGCCGCCCATGGCTTTGATGTACGTGCATAATACCATCCAATCGATGCTCGATATACGTGTATGTGTTATATGTTCGAGGCCATTGGGTATATCCGAGTGCACTTCATGAGGACATGTGGATGTCGGTGTCCCATGTGTCGATCGAACGCTAGCATTGTTCAAATGATGGGGATGTATGTAGGTGGAGGCGTTACCTCTGGACGATCGCATGAAGTTGGTACGATACAATGCTACTACATCAACGCCATCCGCCACAGAGACATCTCCGCCACTTGCAAGCCCCATCATTCTCACTTGAATAGACAAAACTAACGATAATGTACACTAGTGTGTGCCGTTGAAATAGTTAATACTAGTACTCCTCCGTATGAGCGCACAGGTGTCGCTTCGGACAAAATCTCCAGATTTCATTCCAGAACGTTGCTCGACTCTTGAGGGCCCGTTCGATGGTCACGTACAATGTACTATATGCAGCCCACAATAATAGCACATTCCGACTGCCGCAGTGTTTGTTGCATGAATGGAAGTGCATCGTAACGAATGTTGCAATATTTATTAGCTTAAGAAGGTCTTATCGGTCATTCCGCGGCGTCCACGGCCTCGGCTTCACGCACAGGCTCTTCTTCTTCCTCCACGGCTTCCTTGAACGGTTTCTTCTTTCCGAGTTTGCGCAGGCTCGCGTTTTGGATGTCTTGAATCTTGGCCACGACCTGCTTCTTGATGGGGCTCTTGTTGGCTTGGCCATGGATGTGCTTGGCGGCTTCAATTGTCAGCGTCAGTCCTTGCGCCGCATACCGCGCGCCGTTATGCTTCATGTCCACGAGCCAGTTGTCCACGAACATGCGGAGGTCCTTGAGCTTGGTGTCGATCACGGGCTCATACTTGATCAACATTGGCTTGATAAAGCGTTCGTAGACCCAGATGGCGCCGCGGGTCTTGGGCAGCATCATCCACACGAGAAAGATGCACTTGCACACGTAGTACCCTGGCAAGTACGCCACAACCTTCTCGGCCACTTCCTCTGCGGATGACGTGATGGAGAACACGACCCAGTACGTCAACCATTGCTTGTCGTCGTCCGTCTGAGGGGTTTCAAGCGCCTTGAAGCTAGCGTAGGCAGGGTACAGCACGCCGACGGTCGTGACCACAGGTCGAGATATCGCAGAGCCCATGGGTGATGTGTGTCAGGCTAAATGAGAGAATGGGTGGAAACAGGGGAGAGTCGAGTAGGATGTCTGTTTCAACTGGTGACAGTGCTATTTTAAGCTCGGGACTTGTTCCAAGCGCATGGGATTCGTTCCTTCGGCATCAGGTGGTTGTCGGCTACTGCTCACACCCCCACTCTGTCTTCTTGCTGCGCCGCGCAAAAGTTCTAGACAGCCGACGTTGGTGCTGTTGGCAGAGAAAATGCTGCGACCACCACCGTAACTGCTATCAATTGGATTGGTCTAAATTACAACTCTAACTACGAAACACTAATTAAAATAAACTCGATATCAATGAATACACTTATATTCATTGGTCTAAATTAGAAATATTTGGCTATGATTGGATCAAAATATAAGATTTTGCTATGTAATGATTGGCTCTTTCGAAGAGCACCTTTTGTGAACCAGCGTTTGCACTGTCCAACCACAGCTCCATCAAACCATCCTGCAGCCTTTGCGCCACATCAATCGCCGCGTCTTCATGTCTGCTGCCTCCCGACCTACCTTGCGCATCCGAGGCGCAGACGACATGCATCATCACTTGCGTGACGGCGCCGCCTTGGGGCTCACGGTGCCCCAAGCATCTGCTCAGTTCCGCCGAGTCATTGTGATGCCGAATCTCGTGCCGCCGGTCACCACCGCGGCATTGGCCATCGCTTATCGTGAACGTATCCTCCAGCACGTACCTGTAGGCCGCGCCTTCGAGCCATTGATGACGTTGTACATGACCGACGGCACGACTCCTGCGATCATCCGCGAGGCGAAGGCGTCTGGTGTCGTGTTTGCCGTCAAGTACTACCCCGGTACTCCATGCTCCGTTCCCATAATTCCTTCAACATAAGACGTGTAGCGGGTGCCACGACGAACTCGGACTCCGGCGTGACCAAGATCGAGAACATCTACCCCGTGCTGGAGACCATGGCGGAGATTGGCATGCCCCTGCTCGTGCACGGCGAAGTGACCGACCAAGCCGTAGACATCTTCGATCGCGAAGCCGAGTTCATCCGCACGGTGCTCGTCCCTTTGATCGCTCGGTTTCCGACGCTAAAGCTGGTCATGGAGCACATCACGACCGCCGACGCCGTCGCGTTTGTCGCCCAAGCGCCGGCCAACGTCGCGGCCACGATCACGTGCCACCATCTCCTGTACAACCGCAACGGTGGGTTGTTCGCTAAAGACATACACTCTTTGTTGTGTTTTATTCTTTTAAGACATACATTATTCACCCAAAACATGCGGATGTATAGCCATTTTCCAAGGTGGCCTGCGACCGCACAAGTATTGCCTCCCGGTGCTCAAGCGCGAAACCCATCGGTTGGCACTGCTGGATGCTGTCAAGAGCGGCAACCCCAAGTTCTTTCTCGGAACCGACAGCGCGCCGCATATTGTAGACAAGAAACATTCTGGCTGCGGTATGTACCTGCGATGTGTTCTATTAATACCCACCCATATTGTGTTCTTTAAACCGTCACTCTCAAGTGTCTTCTTGAAAATTGACCTACATTCCTAAAAAACATGCGCAATGTAGGTTGTGCTGGGATCCACACGGCGCACGCAGCGTTGGAACTGTACGCGGAAGCGTTCGAGTCGATTGGGAGCCTCGACAAATTCGAGGTACGAAATGTCTTGAATATATATATTATATATATCTATAAATTGTCCTTTACGAAATGTCTTGAATATATATATAAATTGTCCTTTTCGCTAAAATATGGAGTTTTCTGCTGATTCACGAATCGATTTGTGTCAGATGTTAAGCTTGCTCAATGGATGCGATACATATTTAAATATATAGGAAACTTTTGGGTTGATTTGTCAACCTGCTGGGCCAAACTAAAATTCGATCGATATTTGTTTGCTCTATAGTGAAGTTTGATTGGCTAGGACATATTTCAAAATACATTGCCCTTATAATCCATTCGATTGTATCCAAGTCCAAATTGGAACAGTTTTGACAATATATATATATATAGGCGTTTTGCAGTGTGTATGGCGCCACCTTTTACGGGCTTCCTCTGAACGAAGGCCCGTCGGTGGAACTGGTGCCTAAGACGTGGACTGTGCCAGCTTCGTACCCGTTCGAATCGAGCCAAGTCGTGCCGCTGCGTGCGGGAGAGTCGATTGCGTGGAAAAGATTGGATGCATAAACAACGAGTTACTGTAGCACGATTGGTTTTATCACCGGGGTTGAATAAAAAATAAATACTACGGTAGAATGCTTTCCGATCGATGGACTTGGTGCGTCTGTACAAAATGCTAAAATTTGGCATTTTGTACAGACGCACCAAGTCCATCGATCGATTTATTTCTTGCACTTTTGACATTACAAGTAACGCCCTGCACATTAATTTCAGTCATTATTACACTAATTCGGTGTGGAATGGTTGAACGAGAATATTTGATTGGCCACTTGATTCGTGTTGTTCCGGGTTTTGATTGGTCGATCGATTGTCGACCGATTTTGGTAGTGCTTACTGTATTCGATTGAGCACGTTTGAATCGACTCGACAATCATGATACTACGTAGTAAGACTTACTTGGTCACACACAGTTTTGTTTACAAATAATAATACTAACAGTAAACAAAGACATCGTTACAAGTCACAACGCTAGTTCCAAAGCGCTTCTCCTGTTCATTAACAGTTACCGTAGTTGTTAACTTGTTAGTTAACTGAAACAAAACCTGTCGAGTCGTACTTTAGTATGTTGTTAGGATGCTTCCAACGGCATCGGGGCCAGCTCCGAGTCGACGTCTGGCACGGCCAACTTGGCTTGGAGGTTGTAAAAGTTGGTTTGGATTTGGTCGTTGGTCGGGTCCAGCTCCAGCGCCTTGAGGTAGTAATGAATCGCGTCCAGGCGGTTGCCCATCGTTTCGGCCAAGAACCCGGCGTTCGTGAGCAACGCGCCGTGTCGTGGGAATCGGTCGATGGCAACTGCGTACAACTCGGCGGCCTTGACGAGATTGCCATTGGTCTTGTGCCACACGCCAGCGTTGTTGTACAACTCCATGCATTCAACTCCGTCGTTCAAGCCCTCGTCGTATCGAATTCGTTAAGGGGACTCACGATACTGCATCACAAAGTAACTAACATCATGCGTCATGTGCAAAAAGGATATGAAGATCAAGCCAGCGCGGACGTTGTCCCCTGCGTTTTGAGCGGCGAGCGCGTACATGTTGTACACGCTGCAGGGTGCCACTAGCTCTTCCAAGTCGTAGCCCCGGCGTCGGACGCGAGCATTTTCCTCGAGCGTTCGTTCAAAGTACCTACACAGTATGTCCACAGGTTCAAAACGACGTGAAGTAGTTTTGGAGGGATTCATTCACAATATTTAATGTTGCAAACAAAGCTGGCGATACGCGACGACGTACGGCAACGCAGCAGCAAAGTCGTCGGCGTAGTACGCGATGAGCCCCCGAGTGAAAACTATGGTGGGCAGGTTGTGGTGATGTGACAGAGTAAAATCCAACAACTTTGTGGCCGTAGCCAGGGCGTGCGTGGGTTGATCCGTCCGAAACTTGTCGTGTTGGTTCGTGGCATAGAATTCAAACAGGTACTTGCCGAGGTACGAGTACGACTAGACATATCATCGTTATCGTCGTGGGTTGTGATACGATTGTCTATATATAGTAAGCAATACTGTACCGCCAATGAATGGTCCACATCGATCGCCTTTAGCAAGCTGTCCATACAATGCAGCGATTTGCCCATGTTAACATAGGCGAGGCCGAGGTTGAAGTGTCCAATCGAGTAGTGCGGAAGCACATGCAACGCCCGCTCCAGGTACGCCGCCGCCCGCGGTGCGTCCGAGTTGAGTAGGACTTTGGACAGGTTACTCAGCACTTTGGTGCTCCAGGGGGCTACCTTGACGGACGCTTCAAACAGCGCGACTTCGTCTGTCCAGTCACGGTTGCGACAGAGTGTGCGGGCGGTGGCAACGATCAAGAGAGTGGTCGCGATCCCGACTAAGGCGACTTGTTGTCGTTGGGACCCTCGATGCAGCGCCGTGTCCAGCGTATACCCTGCGAGAAGACAGACGCCGACGCTGGGAAAGTAGAGCAGACGCTCGGCGACGATGGTGCCGACGGGGAAGAGGACGTTGGCGGCAGGTACAAACGGAAACAAGGCAAATGATGCCATGAGCAAGAGCGAAGGCGACGTCCGGGAGTGCCACGCGGACGCAAACACCAAAGTAACCACACACGTGTACGCGATAGCTGTCGAGATGTTGCGGGGGTCGAGCATGGAGTGAACGATGGGGATGGTGCGGAAGCCATAGTCGTAGCTTAGGTACTGAGGCCAAGCCATCTTGTACAGGTACCACGCGTGTGTGTGGGCAATCGTAAGCACCTTGGAAGTGCCGAAGGGTAATAGCGAGATATCGTTTTCCATTTCAGTCCATGGGTACAGCATGTGGGGGCCGTTCAAGAGGATGCGTCCGGCAATGGCGGTGGTTCCAAACGCGACAAGTACCGCCAAACGACCAAGTGTTGGGGATGCAAGCAACTCTTGGGTTGAAAGACGGTAGGACTGTAGCAGGTCCAACACCACTAACATACCCAGCGTCGTGGCGCCGAGCTCTTTGCAAAGGGTGGCTATAAGAAACGTTCAACGATGTATTTGGGAAGCGCTGACGTACCGAGAACGATCAGACCGATGGAAAGGATGAAATGCATCCATTTCGTGGTGGTTCGATCTGAAATCGCAGTATCGTAACATGTAAACGCCACAAGGGACACTAATGTGCACAGCACGTCGGCTCTGCCAACGACGCTGGCGACTGAGTCGCAGTGGATGGGATGCACGGCGAAGAGAAGGCCAGCTAGGACAGGAGCTCGATGGACTTGTGACGACGATGGCGCAATGGACATGACGCGACGGCCAACCACGACCACAAGCGCTGACGTGATCGAGTGGAGCACAACGTTCAGCAAGTGATACCCCCAGGGATCGAATCCACCGACGGCGTAGTTGAGACGGAACGTGAGCACCGTGATGGGACGGAAGCTCTTGTGGCTGCTGGCAGACGAGATGGGTGTGCCCCAGAAGTCGTGGACAAACAGGTCACCCACGGCCGTCGTGTTGTCGTCGGTTCGAATGTCGCGATTCGTGAGGATGGCGGCACGATCGTCCCAGACAAACCCGCATGACAGCGTGTTGGCAAAGACCGCAAAGGCTAACAAGGCCACACAGAGCAGCGGGACCGTGCCCTGCCACAGCGGAGACAACGTAGCCGACGGGCTGCCTTTCATTCTCGTTTCAAATGTGGAAAGATATCAACTACGGCATACTGCGATTTCATTGGTCCATAGCGGACCAATAGATTTGGACTATCACTCAAAAGTTGTCGGCGAAATCAGCCTCATACCGGTTCCGGATAACGTTACCGGTAACGTGAACACTCTGGTTGCATTATACAGGAGGCTGCGGGAAATGGTCATTTAGAACGAACTCGATGGAGCTGATGCCTATAATCGCAATATTCCACGATCGGATTCGTTCATACTTCACCTGGTTTACAGAAACCTTCGTCGTCGCATCTTCGCTGGTGATTTGGTCGTCAGCTTGCTTGATGGAAGCGCACTTTTCTTCGAAACAAGAAACCGTTTCATTATTATTATCATGGCGTGAATAGAATTTTAAAAAACAACACATCAAAACGATGTTATGTGATGTTATATTTGGAAGCAAAGATAACTAACAAAGTTGATCAACTTGGATATTATATTTGAGACAGCCACTTTCAAAGCCACACAACATTAGCCAATGTAAACCGACCAGCCCGAGACTCCATTCGCGTGCTCACAAGCATTATATCTACATAATGGCAAATCATATAGGTCGCTACGAGGTATAATCATCGAGATATTTACTTTCAAAGTAGGTTATATTTGCGTTTTTTTGCTACTTTGAGGACTCATCGCTCACGCTACAAAGTTGCAATCGTCATATTTCTAGCTTTAAACGATAGCCTGCAACTAAGTTTGCAATATCTACATTCATTACACCGCTCGTAGGCAAGCCGTCAGAGAGAGATTCGATGTCAAAGTCATGTACTTTCTAAGTTACCTAACAAAGTTAATGTCAAGTCCATTAAAATACCGGTCAGTTTTGAGCTGAAGTCACTACACCATGCGTTCCAGGTGTTGCGCCTTGTCGAAAGGCCAATCGAAAGTCCGCAGCCTCTAGTGTGTCTATCAGGTATGATTAGTCCTAGTGCGATCGAGCTGCTTGGTATGCTGTCAATTCATTTGAGGCTCGATGTTTTGGTCATTTCCCGCACCCTCCAGTTAATCCTGAAAGGATTTTACTGGTAGGATTTACGCTAGTAAGCTAGACCAGGAAGAATAATGTCACATAGTTTAATCAAGATAAAAAGCAAGGTCAAGATAAACTTGCATAGTTTAATCAAGGTGAAAATAGAGGTCAATATAATCTAGCATAATTTAATCAAGATTATATATTCGGTCAAAAACTGAATAGTCAAAATATGCCTTTGATGGACAATTAAAAGGTGTGAATTTTCTGCGATATCATAGATACTCTCTGGCCGGTACAACCTACTATACCACTACTTCTTATACAACGACTTTCCCGCAGATACATTCGATTAATTCGATTGCACTCAACACGAATGCGTTAGGCGATCAATATTTTACCGAAAGCCGTGGGTGTAGGAACACTTTCGCATTTTTATTTGATTAATATTTTACCAAAAACTGTGGGTGTAGGATTACTTGCGGCGGTTTGAATTTATTTTCTGTCCGGAGGATGTGCCCAAATTTATTCGCAACGTTTAACTGGATTTTCTTAGTGCAACACCAATGGGATCAAGTCGCTACGCGAAATCGGTTTGCAACAGTTGCGAATTCGCCTTGGACGCCACTATGACCAGGGCTGCGTGGGGGTGCGCACTTCTGATTTTGGTGAAGGGTTCGGCGCATTGCCGGGGGATAGCTATAGCAAACCACTAGCGATGCGCCAAACCCCGGAATATCAAGACTACACTTCGACCTAACTACAGTAATCTAGGTTCTAGGGCCCGGGTTCCGACGTTTCCACCCTCTTCATGGGGCACGTTCTTACGTACACATTTTGTTTATCGAGGTACTCAAGTGATATTACATGCACGAAGCGCCTTTCCTAATTCCTGCCAGCACACTAGCGCAGTGGCGTGTTGATACACAACGAGGAGACAACGCAAGTAGCAGCTAAGATGAAGCCATGATTTGCCAATCTCACCCGTTGGTATTTCTGTATGTGTGGGACAAAGCAAACGAACGTAGCAGCTTGAAACGTAAGCCCTTCCATTCAATCCAAACGACTTGGATCACATGCAGCCGACGAATCGACGACCTCGTTCACAACTGGCTTCAACAAGTGGCACAACCTGGGTTTCATATTGTGCATTTCACCCAAAATTGGACTGTTAAGAGTCATTTCGCCAAATAATATTAATAATAGCGTTTGATCCAAATTAACTGTAAGCTTGTACAAACTGTGCGATACAACGTACAGTATATATCTAGTTTTGGAGGGACTTTGGACCGAATCAATCGTTTGGATCGAGCGTGATTGATTTTATGGGCACAGTCTCTCCGCATGGGGTAAAGCCTGATACTGTAGATACTCAATGATGTAGTTATCGTATAGTTTGCACAAGATTCAATTTGATCATATCGAATCACAGGGACAAGACTATAAAGTCCAGATTTGGGTGAAAAGGCACAATACGAGATTCGATTCTACTACTGAGGAGGAGGGAGCTCGAGTTTTGAATCGAAAGTTTGAAAAAACATCTCTTAAAAATATTTTTTATTTTTACTTTTTATTATTATTTTACATATACTTTACGTGTCGACGGCAGCCGTCAAGTCGAACTCAATGGGATCCCGGTGGCCCCACAAGCTCGTCCACTGAATCTCGTGGGTCGACCAGTTGACACCTTGGGCAGCATGGAAATCTTGGATACTGCGCTCTCTTCCCAATCCACACGCGACCATGGGTTCGTTTTCCTTGGCCTGTAGTAACAACGCCAGCACTCGCTCGAGGGACGCATTCTTTGCCGCTTGGTCGACTCGCTGTGGGCTGGTAAATGTGGGCCGGTGGCTTCGCGACCACAAGTGATACACCACAGCCTCGCACGGCGCGTAAAAGTCATACCCGTGGGTCCATAACCTTGCCGCCATCACGTTTTCCTCTCCAAAGAATAAGTGGGCCAATGACGGGTCGTATGGCACCTACAGGTATTGATTGTCAAGTCGATGATTCGAAATTATTGGAGTAAGCTCCATCGAATGAGCAGAAAACCAAACAAATCAGCAGGCAATCGATATACGACCAATCAAAACACACAACACGAATCAAGTAGACGATATCAAATTTTCTCGCTTCACAGTCAACGATTCCACATCGATTTAGTGTATGACTGAAATTAGTGTGCAGGTCGATACTTTTTACACACAAAAGTTAGTACAATCGATCGATGGATTTGGTAAATCAGCACAAAAGTCCAAAACATTTTTGGGTATAGGACAATAGTACAATGTGAATCAATTGTCCACTCCACGTAGTATTGTTGTAGAATTGCTTCGAAACTGGAGCGACGTGGAGAATGCATCGACAAATGTATAAATATATGGAGCCAATCAGATTGCAGGACAGGACGTCGAATTAGTATGTGACTGAAATTAGTGTGATTTAATCACCACCAGACAATTTTTCACCATACAAAATTCCGTACCGTTAGTACAAAGCACCTATCGAGGGTAGATTTGACGAATCACCACAAAAGTCCAACTTTTAGGAAAGGCAATAATATACTAAAGTACCTCTTGAATCACACATGCCCGTGAAAACGCAAACCCCGCCGCCCAAAATGCACTTGGAACAGGCCTAGCCAAATGTCAAGGGATCTGTCAACTATCTTAATAATATTTCATTTACGACGATGGACTTGTCTTGAGCACTTTGCCGCATTGTCGAAGCATCCCGTGCGAATCGAATGCCGACGCACAGAGCAAGGTTGGCCGGGTATCATTGGGAATCTACTAATTGTCGTTGGCATATATGTACACATCATCCATACAAGCACACACTCTCTTGAATGGTAAAGGGAATTTTGAAATTGGTTCTATAGGATCTAAAAATAATTATACTTATCCTGAAGAAAATTTAGGATTAACCATAAGTACTTTAATAGATACTAATAATACAAGGTAAACATTCTTTTTGTAAAATATTAAAGAAAGCAAAAATTCCAATTCTAATCGTAGGTAATAAAAAAAAATCAATCACAAACCCCTGGCTTGCATGCAGTCAATAAGAAATAAATGGTTCGTCTTTTCGTCAAGAATAAATGAATGGTCAACTCGTGGCTCGTTTGGCAGGGCGTAGTAGATAAATGAATGGCGGGTCATTTCCACTCACTAATAAATGAATGGTTCTTTGCACTCAATATAATAAATGAATGGTTCATTTGCATTCTCACTAATAAATGAATGGTGGTACGTACCTCGTTTGGCAGGGTGTAGCCCAGGGGATATGTGGTCAAGATGGCTTTGCGAGGTCGTCCTTGTGGGCTGTTGCTACATCGCCGCAGTTGATCGATCAAGTACACATCCCACCCCCGTCGAAACCTACATATATCATCTATTACGAAAGGATATTTCAAAAGTGATTATATATCTATCTACCCCGGTGTATCCAAGCGCAAAAATAAAAATTACGAAATGATAGATATCCCCGCGTATCCAACGATATATATGTAGTACGATGTGATAAATATATATACATATATATCCTCCAGAGTATACAAACATGCCATTAGGTCATACAGGTACATGGAGTTTTCTCCATTCTGCATAGGGACCCACCCCTTCGTATATCCAACGATACGGTATACGACACGAATAATTTTAAAAAGTGATATATATATATATATATATATATCGCCATATACAATAAAAATATGCATGCGAACTGTCCAAATAGTCGTACCGCATGTGGCTATCGATTTGCAGGTAGAACGCTTCCCCTTTCCACAACTGCTGGGTTTCCCATCGCGCCAGGCACGGTCCCGTCGCGTCCGCCGGTCGCATCCGCTTGATTCGAACATGCTCACCGTACATGTCCATGCTTTGATCATCTTGCTCATGTTGCAGACATAGGCCAACAAACACGCGGGACGGAGCGGCGGCGGTCGCAAAGAGATGGGCCACCGTGGGCTGGCATTCCGAGTCGCAGTAGCTAGGAATCGACACAAAGATCGTTGACGTGGCGTCTCCTCCAGCAACTTCCAGCGGTTGGTTTGACCCAGTGACACATGACGACGTTGTTCGAGTGGCTATGTTGGTTGCAAAAGAGGGCGTGGTGGGCGTTGGTGACGTGGCGGAAGGAGGGGTCGACGGGATAGTGGTGGCTGAGCCACCGCCGTAGTACCAGGTCGTCAGCGCCAGCCGGTGGACTGTCGTGGGGAGGACTTCGTGGAGGACGTCGGTGCTGCGAAACACCACGAGCGTATCGAGTACTGGGGGAATGTCCCATGTTGTTCCATCTTGGAGATGCATGCGCAGTGCGCCGCCGTGCGATGATTCCCATGACGGATTCAGGTAGTACAGGCACGTGATCCGTCGACTCAGGTGCTGCTTGGCGTTGTTGTTGTGGTCGTATGTGTCGACGTGCGGAACGAAGCGGGTGTTGTGGCCTGGCTACAAGACAATAATGGATGGTCACGAAAAGGTCGCGTCGTAGGATTGGTTGTAATGACACTCACAAACACGGCCAACTGCGTCGACTTGACGTTTCGAACGCCCAATTCCGGCGCGGCTTTGGCCAGTCCTAGCCATGGGATGATGGAGGGAGATGCATTGACAGGAACGACTACAAACCATGCATGAGCCTTTCAATTTGGGCCAAGAGATGCTGCAGCGGCGGTGGGAGGGCGGTCTTGTCGTGGGGGAGCCAAACGAGTTGATCTCCACGAGCGTCCGCGACATGACACGTAACTGCAGTGGACTTGCCAACGCCCACCTGGGCAGGGCGCATTGGAGTGGACTCCGTGAGGCCGAGGCATGCGTCATGGACAGCGGTTGCAGCTGCAGGCCCTAAGAAATGCTCTCGGACGACGAAGCCAGGGCTGTCTGCCTGTCGGAGAAGAAATATTTCCGACGGATTGAGCACTCCTACTCGGATATAGTCGCTGCTTCTGCTCTGGGGTATCACAGACTCGCCCCGATTCGCAGGTGGTTGGACGGTGGATCGTTGTGGTGGTGGAGATGCGTTGGCTGAGCTGAGGCCGTTCCTCACCGACGAAGGTGCCGCCAATGAGTGTCCTAAGGATGCTTCAACCAAGGACATTAACTGAGGCGACAACGCATCCAAGAGGGAAGCGCCAGTCGCCGCCTTCTTGCGTCCTGGAGTTGCCATTGCACGCGTCAAGGTGGGTAGAAAGTACCCACCCACCCGCCCGGTCCGTGGTCAAAGCAACCGAAGGATGAGATAAACCCATTTTCCTAGACACCGTTATTCTGGCGAACGTTTGTCGAACATTCCCCCAATACCAAGAATTAAAGGCTACTGAAGTAAAATACATTGTTTCATATTAATACTATAGTATATTTCAAAATAATAATGTGCTGACAATTCATTCGAACTCTCGCGATTTTCAGGACCGCAATCCATCACAAGGATTTCTTTTGACTAATTCCCCTACAGAAGGAGTATCACTCCTAAATTGCACGGAATTCCTTGGATAAGTCGACACATATAATAAAAGGACTTGTGTATAACTTGGGACTGCGTCCTACCCCCTCTGGGCACATTCTTCGAAGCATAATGTTATTCCCAGGGTTACAGTAAGTGCATCACCAGCGGTTATCTATCGCTAACCACTGGAGATGCCTAACCCCTAGTTGACATGGGTGGTGGTGTTTTCGCAATGGTGGTGAACCTCATGATGGTACTTATTTGTGCAAACAAATTTCATACTCACCGACAACAGATTGATGTGGGGGAATTAGTCGATTTCTTTTGGGAGCAGCAGATGATGGTATCCCAACACATGTGACCATATAAACCAAGCATCATGCCCTTCTTATCTCTGTGGTACGTAGTGTGATGCTCTCATCGACCATGTTATAACGTATGGTGTCTGCAGCTACCGCCATGTTAAACTTAGACTTCGTAGAAGAATTGCCACACGAATCGACGCGTGGTTCGCAGGATGCTGCATTGCTGGATTCCCACAAGGCCATTGGTCAGTCTTCCACCAATCCAATCGTGGTATTTCAACACTGCCTCAAGTAATGAGCCAATCACAGCTCCGGAACCGTGCTGTCACATGTTCGTCGCTACACCCGACGACGGCTCACGGCTTTGCGAAGCCAACCTGCAAGGCCATTCTTGAATTTCCCTCGACCCCGTCACATCTACCTAGCGACATCATGACGCTGTCGTCCGTTTCGCCCCATCTCCCGTCTGCTCGAAGCCACAGCGCGGACTTCCAAGAGAGCTTCAAAGCCCTCGTCAAGCAAACTATGCTCACGTCCGAGCGGTACATGGTCCTGAGCACGAGCCCCACGGACGTGGCGTTGGGCGTTCAATGGCGCCGTGACTACAACACTGCCACGAGTCAGCCGATTGCCATCAACTTTGGCCACCGACGAACGCTGTCGTTTGACGAAGTGCTTGCCGCAGAGGACGACGACGTCCAGTACTCGCCGCTACACTCCGCCCACCACGTTCCACACGACGAAAATGACGACGTCGACGACAACATCTTTGTCATGGAGCTGTGACGATCGAGGTCGAGTACAGTAGTAGTATTTAATCGTATTTTAGCATAAACGTGTACAGTCACAACGACTCAAGTAATAAGTTATGGATGATGGATATTCTTCCCAACCTCGTGTTTTAGATCATCTACTGCGTAGTAATCAGCGTGAAACAATCACGGTTGTTGTTGTTTAAATGCCAACTCGAGTTTGGTGCGTAGATGGGCTAAATCTGGCTCGAGTCTCAGCGCAGCCTCAAAGTACGTCAAAGCTTGAGCTTGGTGGCCCACTGACTCGGCCATGTACCCAGCATTGGTCCACAGGACAACTTGAAGCGGATGGCGCTTGGTGGCTTTGTCCAGCAACTTCAAGGCGTCCATTGACCGATTGGCGCGGTGGAAGCAGGCGGCGGCATTGTTTACAAGAGACGCGCAGTCCCAGAATGTAGACGCATTCATCATGGCACGGTCGTGAAGGACGAAAACGTTAAGGAAAAATGCCAGGATTGTATATGCCAGTTGATCTGGCTTATATCACTGAAATCATCATAGTCAAAAAAGGATATGTAAAATGCCAAGGCCGTCGTCGTATTCATGTGTTCCCACGCCAGGCCTGCCAACGTGTCGACAAAGCAAGGATCGACCACTTCATTCAGGTCGTACCCTCGGCTTGCCACATAAGCATTGGCTGTTCGTGTTATGGCCAACGATCTAAACTCAATAGAGTGATTCGAACGGAGGATGAGAATATGTAGTACGTACTGGAGAGTGGCGCCCATGTTGCCAAGTGCAAACGCCACTTTAGCCTGGCCGTATGATGCAGAAGGATACGTTGCTCCAACGTCAAGCGCAGTTTGCACCAGATGGGCGGCCGTGTGCAACGTACTTTGGCCCGCGCCAACATGAGACTCCCAAAACTCTACAAAGTGCTGACCGAGGGAAGTATACGCCTAATGTTATACACGTCACAATCCCACGATCACATTCCATCGTATTGCACGATAAAAATATATATTGTACTGACCTTGGGTTCCTGGACCAACTCTATCGACTGCACCAAGTGATGCATTGCCTGTAGAGGCTTCTTCAACGCGGCGTAGCCAGCCGCTAGGTTCAAATGGCCGAGGGAATACGAAGGCATCAATGCCACCGCCCGCTCCAGGTATAGCACCGCTGTGCGCGCATCTTTAGGCAGGATATCTTGACCCAAATTTGTCAGCACTTTGACGCTGGTAGGGGCCACGCTCAGAGCGCTTTGGAACAGCGTATGCTCGTCGTGCCAATCCAGGTTTCGCCTGATGGTTCGACTGGTCGCAACGGCCAAGACGAGTCCAAGTAGCGCAACAAGCTTGGGCTTCGAAGCGGGAGTGGCTGCCAAGAGGACGCGCTCGGTTGCGTAACCCACAACGAGGCAAAATCCCACGCTTGGAAGGTACAACAATCGCTCGGCGAGGATCGTTCCCACGGGAAACATCACGTGGGACGCTGGGACAAACGGGCAAATGCCCAAGACCAGCAGCACAAACAACGGCGATGTCCTCCGATGGGATGCACTCGTCCCCACTGCGCCCACCACCGCCATGTACGCAACCGACGAGGCAAGGTTGCGGACGTCATAGATGCTCGTGACAGCGTGTATCGTGTTCCAGCCGTAGTCGTAGCACAGATACTGCGGCCACAGAAGTTTCCAAAGGTACAAGGTGTGGACATGGGCATACGACATTGCCTTGGACACGAACGACGGTAGATGGGCAAACTCGTTTTCGTAAATGCTCCATGTATACAGTGTGGTCGATGATCCATTCATTTGTACGCGCCATGCTAGAAACATTACCCCCGCCACCATCAAGGCTCCACTTTGTGCCTTCGAGTATCTCGTGTCGGACGACCATTCCATTGCCAGCAGCACTGCAAACATGGTGAACCCAGTCTCTTTGGCCATGGTGGCTACATTTAAGTTAGAGAAATCGATATCCCAAGCTATGCTAACGTACCCAAACACGTGCAGCCAATGGCTACCATTGTCCACACCAGACGTCGACTGTGTTGTACGTGACGAAGACGTTGGTTGTATGCCAACAACGCTAAGAGGGAGATGGCGGTGCACAGAATGTCTGCACGTCCTACGACGCTTGCGACGGAATCGCAATGGATAGGATGCACGGCAAACAGCAATCCAGCTAGCACCGGCGTGCTTGATGATGACGGGGAACAAAGGACGCGACCAGTGCTCACCACGAGAATAGACACCACGACATGCAAGAGAACATTCGTGATGTGGTAGCCATGAGGATGTAGCCCATGAACCGCGTAGTTGAGTCGAAACGTGGCCACCGTGAGTGGTCGGTAGCTCTTGTGGCTCTGGGGCGAGGACAGGTTCATGCCCCAGAAATCGTGGGCGAAGAGGTCACGTAGGGGTGTAACGTCGGTTCGAACATCAAGATTCATGAGGATGGCACCTCGGTCGTCCCATGTGAAGTGAGAGAACATCGTGTTGCCAAACGCGACGAAGGCTGCCGCACCTACGACGACGACACTCCAGCCCATTTTGCGTTGGATCCTGGTGAGAATGAGATCCGGTTTGATTGGTCGATTTTTCTCGTGTACATGCACATGATTGGGCAAGTTAATTGGGGCAAACCCATGGTCTAACTTAGTGACATTCAAAAACGCTATCGTCCAAACCTTCAACGGAGGCACGTGGGCACGTTGTATCAGTATTATCGATCTGTTGTACTTTGATCTTTCAGTTTGAATCCATTGCACTGGAACTTGACGAGCTTTCGGTTGCGACGACAGGGTATTTGTCCCGCTAGAGCGTCCCAAACCTGTCATTTCGAATATATCGGATTCAAGAGTGCAATTGCGATTGGTCCACAGTTCGTCGTCTGGTGCGCTGTGATTGGCCCATTTCCTGCACCATTGCCTTTGGTGCCAATCGAAGATGGTGAAGAAAGGCAAGGCGGTCAAGCAGGTGGCGACGGCAGCCCAGTTGCTCGAGCGAGCGGAGACCTTGGTCGACCAGTTGCAGCCGGAACTGGCCATCAAGTTCTTCCAAAAGGCCGCGGCTCTGGAACCAAACAACTCGGAGATCTACGATGCCATCGGGGAGCTGGCCACGGAAATCGGAGACCCGCACACGGCACTGCAAGCCTTTCTCAAGAGCATTGACGTGGCACCCAAGCACAACCCAGGCAAATATCTGTATGCTGCCCAGCTTGTACAGGGCGAAGAGAGCGAAAAGTTTGCGCTCCAAGGCATTGAGCACATGAGCGCGTCGTTGGCCCACGTTCCCGACCATGTAGGTCATTGGACATTTTTATTTTCGAAGGATGCATGTGAACGATGCGTGGTGGCTCATGGTTGTTGTTGTTGTACCTAGCTGGACGAATCTAAGTTATTGAAAAAGCAGATTTGCGACGCGTACTGCAGTTTAGGCGAATTGTACATGTCCGACTTGTGGTACGTGGTAGCATCCACAAGCCAACATCTCTCTTTCTCTCTCTTATCGTTCTTGGCGTAGCGATGCCCACGATGCGGAAGCCAAATGTGAACATTATTTGCAGGAAGCGCTCAAGTTTGACTTGGGGTTGCCCGATGCGACCCAGGCCATGGCCAATTTTCGGTTGGTGCAGCAGCGCACAGACGAAGCGATCGCGTTCCTCGACGAAACGCTCAAGCGCCTCAATGCATGTGGTATTGTCCTTTTACCCCCCTCCCATATTTAACCTTGGTCAACTCTATCCATCGATTATTTGTACTGACCTTTGTATGGAAACAGTTGTCCTGTGGTGATTAGAATCCCACTTATTCAGTCCGATGGTTCCTGCAATCTGGTTGGCTATATATACTATACAGTCCGATGGTTTCCTGCAATCTGGTTGGCTATATATACTTGTGACGACGATTCTTCTGTACCGTACATTTATTCTTTAGTTGATGTGCTCATACAAGACCAATGTACCAACTAACCTGGCGAATAGACGAACACACGATGCCGTCGTTGGAATTCCGCATCGTTACGGGCAAGTTGCTGGTCGAAGTGGAAAAATTCGAGCAAGCCGCGTACGTGTTGGAAGGGGTGATGCAAGAAGACGACGAGAATGCTGAAGTGTGGTTCCTTGTCGGGTCGTGCTACAACGCGCTGGAGGACTACGACACGGCTCTGGAGTTCCTTGAGCGCTGTGACGCGGTACGGCAGTGTCGTTGAATATGCGGGGGGGTCGTTGATCTGGAACAACTCGTTCACACATATTGCATGGTGGTGATTGTAGATGCTCTCAAAGCTGCAAAAAGACATGGGAGACGAGTTTGAGCTCGATCAGCAGCTGGATACGGTCCGGTCCCTGATAGAATCGATCAAGCAAATCGAACCTGTGGGGGATGACGACGGCGACAAAGATCAAGATATGGAGTAGTGTAGATATGGGCTTTTCAATTTATGACCTTTCGAGTTGCAACGCGTTCAAGTTTGTCGTGGTTTAGTACATCGTGGTTTAATAGCATGGCACTATCTTACAGTCACTGTTATAGTGCCTGCCTCATACTGATCGCTGATTGGCGACTGAGTCGCCTCGCAACATAGCGAGCGATACAGTATCCAATCAAGTGACTGTGATTCTTGCAACAACAACATCATGGCACCACCGCAGCAATGGCCAGACCCTGATACAGTTCTCTACTTGACGGCAAATGAGCTGTGCTGTGACGTGGCACCACCTGAAGATGCGGACATGGACATGCCTCAGGTGACGACGCCGCCGCCGACGATTCCTCTGTCTATCCAGCTCATCACGGTTCCCACACACCCAGTCGTGAACAGTTACGGTCTGTTTGCCGCTGGAGTCATCCCCCCAAACACTCTCGTGTGCAATTACATTGGACGGGTCCATCTACAAACGACATATCCTGACTCGGACTACGCCGTGACGTACTTCGGATCGTATGCTATCGACGCCACCTTGGCTGGAAATGAAGCCAGGTTTATCAATGACTACCGCAACATTGGCAGTCGCCCCAACGTTGCATTCGACACGTATAAAGATTGCTATGGTGGCATCCAAGTCGGCGTGTGGACCTTGAACATGCCAATTGCAAGGGGAGAAGAAATTTTGGGCAATTACGGCCGCGCCTTTTGGCGGGCCAGGGGAATGCGAGGGGTACTCGGGCCCGACTGGGACGATGCGTGGGATTGACAGAACCAACTAACGTTACTAAGTTAGTCAACTTGGATGTTATATTTGAGACAGCCACTTTCAATGTCACACAACATGGGCTGAAATAAACCGATCGGCCCAAGACTCAGTTCTCTTGTTGGTCACTATTATCTCTACAAAATGACTTATCATATAGGTCAGAACGAGCTATATTTATCGAGTTACTTGCAAAGTAGGTTATATTTGCGCTTTTTGGCTACTTTGACGACTCGTCACTCATGCTACAATGCTGCAATCACCACGTTTCTAGCCTTGAACGATAGCCCTCAACTAAGTTGCAATATATGCATTCATTACACCGCTCGTAGACAATCCGTCAGAGAGATATTCGATGTCAAAGTCATATACTTTCTTGGCTAACAAAGTCAATCATACTACATACGTATTGTCGATTTGATACAAATTTGGGGAGGGGGTGCAATCTAACCCCTTTGCACCCATTTTGGGCTGTTTTCATTGGCTATAATTCATTTTTCTCAGATTTTGAGAGATATACAAACTCCAAGTTAAGGTACTGTACTTGGTCTTTGAACAGGCCTCGTCTGGGAGCGGCACGGCCTACGGCCTACCTGCCGCTTTTCCCGACGAGAGGAAAAGATAGGAAGTTCCCGTGGGGCACGATGGCGTCGCGCCACAGCGCTCGCTTTGGTGCGAGTCGCTCTACACTCTATCTACGCTACGCTACGTATAAGTATCTACGCTACGCTATAGAAGTCCTGGTTAATAATGAATGGGGAAAAAGTGGGCAAAAACCTGGGGTTGAACTGGTGACCTTTCGGACCCCACGTTCAAACCGTTAGACCACGGTGGCTGGTTCTTTTGGAATTGCTGTTAAGCTTAAGCAGATACAAAAAGAATCTGAGCACAATGAATTATATCCAATGAGCAGCGACCACACCCATTACTACAGGGTTAGGTCGTCGTAGGAGCGGTCAATTAATGAGCTCTGCACAACACGAAATTTCACTCGAAAGTACAATAGTATATTATGACAATGGGTGTCTGGATTACACCCCGATTTTTGCCCAATTTATATTTCGAAAAATTGGTTCAAATTAATTCGAAGAATTTGGTTGTCACCTATTCTTGACTGTCTGGAACAAACTGATTTCAAAAGAAACTCGATGATTCTCACAGTCAAATCTTGCCGATTTTCAGAAGAAAAGTCCGATGAACGTCTTTTTTATTTTTTGGCGAAAAACGCGATATTCGGCAAAATATTGAATTCTACAAAGTTTGGATCCAGAACAGATAATTTTCTATTTTTTGCCGATTTCTTAGGCCGAGTCTGGATGCCACAGAGAATTTTATGTCAAATAATATTCTGACAGAGAATTCCCGTGTCAAATGGGAGGTGATCGAAATATTTTGATGTGACCTCTGGATGCCATGATGGAAGCAGAACTATCGATAGAATAACATGTAGGTAAAAATTGGACAGTTGCAGTTCAAATTTTTTCTGTCAGAAAACAGTAAAATTCGACGTAATATGTCACTTTATATATGTCAGATTTGGTTGCCAAACACACAAAAGCTGTCGTTTGGAAAATTGTCATAATATTTCTGAAAAGTTGCAAAAGAGATGTTTTCTAACATATTTTGTTGCAGCCAGAGTGGCCCTTAGAAATTGCCAAAATATCGAAGATTTTGACCTTTTCTTTGACATCCAGACTCACTATAACTTCAAGTTATATTTAGAGATATTGAAGGGTTTACGAAATGTCTACGAAACCCTTATAATCTTATATTTCGCTTGCTTCCAACGATAAAGGTACATTACTTTGCCACACGCTTCGACTTTTCTGGATCCGCGGACACAAGAACGATGAATGATACGCATGTAAATCAAAGGTTATATTTATTGACGAGAACATACATGGTTGGGTATATGTCATCTCGTCTAGTCTACGCTTGCTAACTTCGCTAACATTGCTTTCCAGTGGAAGCGTTTGACCAAGTCGGGCATGCGATGGACGCCACAGCGCAAGTTTTAACCTATGCACAACTGTATAGGCTACTATACTGTATTCGGTGTCATCCGTGGGCCTTGCGTGGCGCGAGAAGGCGCAACTTGCCGGCATCCTTGGATTTCCAATCATAATGCAGTTTGATTGGATATATATGATGTCACTATGTAATTTGCAGCCACGGACCGTGGAAGTCGGTCTTCCAGTGGAGCACTGCACTTGACCAAAGGAGAGCTTTCTGTGCATTCAGGCTTCAGTAGTCTCCGCAAACCCAATGCGTTCTACGACTAGGCAATTTATAACTATCAGACGTTGGCACACAACACACACAGATGTAGGGGTAGTGGCTCAAAGGAAGGTGGATTCAGAAGTGAGCTTAACTCTAGAACCTCCATAATTATCATCGCTAAAGACATGCATACATGTAAGTAGTGCAACCTTAGCTGCACTGATTGAAGTTTGTCATATCTCTCAATATATGCAACCTTCAAGTAGTGTGTGTAGGATCAAAACAAGGTAGCTATTGGCCCTCGACA